ACCAGAATGATTGACAATTTGGAGGACCACTTATTTTGATGATCCACCCGGAAAAAGAAAATCCTCCACTATATCTTTAAAAAATGTATGTTTGTATTCATATTTTTTTATAAGCATGTTTGGTTGATAAAAGAAACTTAAAATATTTTTGGTTTCCAAACTGCATTTTTTTTAAAACACAATAATTCAACAACTAACAACAAAAGGGAAGACAACAGTTTTATCTAATTTTCTCTTGACAAACAAGCAAGACAAGTGAAAGATTGTGATTTCAGGACCACAATTGTGTGAACAGTGGACATCAGATATTAACAAAAAGCAGAAAGCTATTTATTTCATAATATAATAACAAATGTTAACACTGATTCGTAAAAATAAATGTCCACTTCTCTGGAAGAAAAGCACCTTACAATTGATTAGTGCTGCTCTTCATTATATAAATCCTACATTTCGTTTTGAAATCACTGATTTTCTCTGCAAGCTATTATCCATTTGCTCTGACGAATGTGATTTAAAGTATACAGGGACAGATGAATCTCAACACAACAACTATACAGCCCCTCTAAAAAAACTATTTAAGGAGAGGAATAATTCATCCAGATGCAAGAAAAAGCAGTGTTGCAAGGAGTTTCTTCCAAAAATAGCACAGACAATATGTCTCCATTATTCTAATTTCTGACACTTCAAATATGTTGACATGTGCAAAGAATATTTCCTCTCTCTTCTCTTGTTAATACATATTGCCTGTTTTTCTCTGCTATGACAGCATACATTTTTAAAGTCCATATAAAAATACCCATTCAAAACATTGTGCAGCTAAGTTAGATTTCCTATATGATAAAACTACCACAGATTTCAAGAGGATAAGTTTCCCCTTAAATACTGATCACATCAGAATGTAAGTAGTACAGCTTACATACAACTTAATGATGGTTCTATTTTAAAGCAGATAAATATAACTCTAAATCTTTCTTTACTAAAAAAATATTATTTATACATTATTTACATTCAGATTTACTAAAATGAAGCTGAAAAAACTAACTATAAACAAAAATATAAAAAAACTAAACTGAGGTTGAATTTTATAACCAAGAACAAATCCACTGATGGACGTTATGGTTGGGCTTACTGCCAGAAGCCCTGCATGAGGCCGTATCCCAAATCTGTTCAACCATTTTATTTGCCAAACACTCATTCGAACAGACAGGTGAGGCAGACAGGTCCAAACACCAGGAGGGATCATGTGCAAATATGCATGGTGGTTTAGATTTGTGATTCAATTACATATTCTCCCCAGACCCAGTTGAGTGGACATCACAAGCACCTTTCTGTAGCACCAAAGATGCTAGGAAGTGCTGATTTTTTTTCTCTGGCCAACACTGATAAGACTATCTGCCTGAGCAGAGATTTTCGTGCTTTGAGATCAAACAGCTGTTGCATGTTAAAGTAGAAACTTGAGTGGATCTGAGACCTGCTTATCAGCTTCTCCAAAGTGATCTCAAACATGAAGTCTATGCCACGGTTTCTTAGGTCTTTTGTCACACTAAGGTCGCCTTACATCAGACTGTAGCCTGAAAAACTTTGAGCTGAGTTCAGACTTTATGATTCCAACTTTGAGACAGAGACATGACAAAGCAAAAAAAACATTTCCTTCCCTTAAAATATGTTTGGCATGAATTAGAGACAGCACAAATTAAAACCTGTTAGAAGTTCTCTTTTTTTACCCGTAATATTTTCTTCTACCATTGGTTTGTTGTACTATAGGCTGTCCTGAATTGTAAAATGTTAACATAATTCATTATACGGTAATAGTATTGAAATGTTTAGTTATCTCTGTAAATCAATTCACAACATGCAATATAATTCTGATTTATTACACATAGACTTGTCTTCAAAGAGGAGACTATTGTCTCCTTTGTTCTGTTATTTACTATGAGTTTCTATTTACAGCAAATGAAAACACATTTAAGACTCAAATACTAAATCAGAAAAAACAGAAAAACTTTTTAAGCGGGAGCTTAATAAAAAGGTATGACATATATACACCTAATAATTTCTATAAGGAATCTGCTAAAACACTGTTATTGCATCCTTGAGTATTAACATTGATCTGATACAATATTAGCATGAATCATAAATACTTTTCATATTTTATTGCTCATTTTGCAGGGTGGAATGTTGGAAAATGCGTAATCAAGTAATATTACTCAAACAGAAAACAATAATTAACAATATAACATATGAGAACAACTGACCAATGCATCACTAATCAGTGGGTTATAAAGCTTACATTATGTTAAACCCTTTTATATTCACATTTTTTATGATACTGCACTTATTTCTTATATCAGGATAACATCAGTGCATTCATATCTATAATTTCAACACTAATTTTGTAGCATTTTACTGTCATGCCTGGGTGCTAGGGCCGTAAGGTGAAATAGTCTGCCGAAAGGAAAACTACACGTAAAGTTAACTTGATGAAAAAGAAGTGAGAAGACAGACCTTGTTGAAAGCAGGTCATATTGTTTTGTTTACTAGACACAATGCAGGTGACTATATAGGAAGGTGTTAATAGGGTTGTTGTTGTTGTTTTTTGGCATATATATAAAACATTGAGGAGGAAAATTAACAGTAATATCAACTCTTATTTCCAGGGAAGTATGGTGGTAGAAGCCTGATGCTGTAGAGATTCTGAACAGTAGCAGGAACAGGAAAGCTGTTCAGAGGGGATAACAAGATGTGGAGCTAAATGCAGGATAGTAGTGAAAATAAACATGTGAACCATTCTTAAAGTTATAATGGAGGATTTTCGTGAATTAAAAAAAAAAAAAACTGCCCTCCATTTTAAAAAATGCACATGTACAACCCTGATGAGGGAATGCCTATTACTTTTCAAATTCACAAGCCCATTTCTCCTTTTGCAGGCTCTGTTTAAAAGTTGCTGTTTGCATTGCTCATACTTTTCAAAAGATTTAAAATTTTTCCACTATGTCAGATTCACCACCTGTGAATGAAAATGGGGACGAGCACTAGGACGGCCTTACGTAAACATATCACCAGAATGATTGACAATTAGGAGGACCACATATTTTAATGATCCACCCAGAAAAATAACGTCCTCTACCAGGCTCAAACTGCTAATCTGTGATATCGGGCATTTGCCCAGTGGGACGGTCCTAATTTCAGCGTGCGAGGGGCCGGCCTTCCTTAAATCATACCAGCCCCAAAACTTACTCTCCAGCCGAAGCACCTACCTGTGACAGTAAATATCTCAAGAAGCCCAAGAAGTAGTACAATGTAAACAACCTAAATGATGCATGCAGTATATATATATATAACCCTTCCTTGTCATGCATGTCCTTTGTGTTGGTTGACATATGGTGTAATTTTCTATTTCTTCAAACTGTAAAATCCTTGCAATAAACTAAATTATAATAAAACTAAAATGCTTTCTTTAAAACAAACCAAGGTGTTCCTCTTATATTTGGCAGATTTACGTTAGAATATTTAGCAAAAATATGTTGCCATGCATGATGGGGCTTTGCATCTAAAGGCTAACGTTTCCCGTCTTACGCACATTGTTGCCAGGTTGGGATGTTTTCTAATCTGGCAGTTTAGGATGGCCGTCTATGGGTAAAAAACGTTTTTTCTTTAGAGTTATGGCCTAAGGGGTGGGCCGAGCCTGTCCTCCACTATACCTTTAAAATACAGTTCACATAACAGATCATAATTTTTAAAGTTGAGTTTCTTGACTCTTTCTTATGCATACTGTTATGTTTGTATTAGCTCTTAACTGTACGTTATTTCAATCTTTGTTTTATTTTAACATCTCTTGTAATCAATAGCAACATTTACTTCAATTCTTGGCTGTTTTGTCCTGATTTCTATACCCAGTGTTTCCTTATGTCGTTTATGAATTCCTTCATCATGCACCTGCGCAGTGGTGCCACCAAGAGGTGGCCAGGGGTGGCCACGGCCACCATGTGCAATTTCCTGGCCACAATTCGCCAGTGTGAATTGTAATAGCATCAGTTTAGCATTTCATCCCCTTATGCACAGCCAGGTACATAACATTAAAAATCACACAATAAACCACACTGAAAAAAAATTTTTGGGCACTTAATCATATTTAGTTACTTTAACACAGTTGTTTCATTTTAGCAGGGGAGGGGCATAAAGCAATTATATTAAAGTAACTAAATATGATTAAGTAAATGCTGAAAGCAGTTGCATTATTTTTTCAGTGCAAGATATGAGTAGGTGTAGGTGTTTACTTGAGTGTTTACGATTTCTGCAGGCAGGTTTACCTAAAAATTTAAACCCTGAAATTATGGCTTTTAGTTTCAGTGTGCCGCCCCAAGATTTTTAGAGGCCCCATCTGGGCCCCCCTATGAAACATTTCTGGAGGCGCCACTGCAGCTGCTTATTGTCCCTTTCTTATTTAGACCCTCAGAGTTTTATTGGCCCAGTCAAAGCCCAGAACTGTGACAAAAACTTTTTCACAGACTCTTTGTTTACAGTGTAATTCAGTCCAAACTACTTTCAAAACAAAAGGAAAGATGATAGTTGCTAGATGACTGTAGCTGGCAGAGATGGTTTCCTTTTTCAGCCGTTTTTATTTAGAGGTACCAGGTTTTTTTAGGGGTGAATACAATTTTTTGTGCACAAAAAAAGGTTTAAAACTATTATTATTTTGCTTCCACTAGAAAACCTCAGAATTTCTGAAACCTTTTATAAAAAAAAAAAAAAAAAGTCTATACCAATTAACTAAATTAACTCGGATACAAAGGCGCGCGCTTATTTAGATTTAATCATACCCTTTAAATATTTCGTTCATACCAATTAATGTGCCTGCGTATGCAGTTTGGGATAAAAGTTAACTTTGATGAAATAAACAGAGTTTAAAGCAAAAACAAAGACAAATGCCAAGCAGCAGCCTTGGAGTCCCCAAGGCGCCAGAGCGCAGCTATAAAGGCAGGAGAAAATACAGCACTCACATCTCTGAAGCGATTCCAGTGTTTGGTCTTACGGCTGTACTGAGAGATGGTTGACAGCCATTGCTCGTCTTCCATGAAATTCCCCACGCTCTCTGCCTCCTTCCCATTTTTCGCGTCCACCTGCAACGAGACGCCCACCAGCAGGTACAGGCAAGCCACGGCTGTCAAAGCCCCGATCATGTTCCTCAGGTCAGCTTGGTTTGGGATGTCTCCAGCTCCTCCTGCTGCTGCTTTCCTCCAGACTCAGAGCCAAGACTCCTGCTGCTGCCTGAGCGCACTGGATGGAGAGGAGAGAGAGGAGGAGAGGCAGGCAGGGTGGGGAGTGGAGAGATCTACTACTGATTGCTGAATTTTTACCAGTTTCATTATTTCAGGGACTCATTTAAAAGAGGAACTTTTAATTGTGGATCTGAAAACATCTGAATATCATCAGGCATTATTTCTTTTATTTAATACAAAAAAAATGAAACTCTTGTATTGAGTGAAAAAGGTATTTGCTTTGATTTGTTTTTGCTGATTTGATCACATTCATATAGTTTTTTTCTTGTGAACACAAAAAGTAGTTCTTAAAGCTATGGTTTCATAAATTAAAAGGAAATATCTTCTTATCCTGTGTTAACATTGGTGGAAAAATAAAGCAGGATTTTTTTCCCTATGAACATTATTCGTGGTTTCGTTATGCCATCTGGTAAAGCCAGACAAATACATTTAGCCATTAAGTTTGCAGCAATCCCTCCTCTGGAGTTAAGATGTGTTAATAGCCATGTCCTTTGCAGCAGCCCTTCATACTGAGGATGCATTTGGAGACAGTGGAAAAGAAAACATTTTAATAGAAAAAATCTTTCGCGTTAGTAAGACTACTGCATCTGACCGGGGTTTTAGAAGACAGAGAATCTCTTATCCAGAGGTATCTCTATGATGAAGAAAAGATCATTCAACTAAGCTTATTTATATGATACAAATTTACAAATCATGACATCTTCCGACATATTACAGAGTTAAATCATCCAAATTGTACAGAAAAATTTATTGAAAAATTCTTGTATCTAAGAAAACTTAGGAGATTGCATTAAGTCTTTGAAGAGGTAAAATTTCAACGCTAGGTAGGCTGTTGAGCGCCAGCATTTTTGCAAAGAATAAATACACAGCAAAGCAACATCATAGCTATCTTTTTGAGGAAGGTGTCTGTTGAAGGAGGAAATGACCATAACACCACAATATTAGCAAGAGAACATTGCGTTGGCAAATAATCATCTTTAGGTGAAAGTTTCCATCTTTGAATGGGCTCTCCAGTATTTTTCTCTTATACTATCATGCTTTTTTCATGCAAGCGCAGCAGGAAAGGCTTGTAAACATGAGACTAGAGAACAAGAGATATAGTTTGTGAAATCCCACCAAATTCCATCTAAAAGGAAATCTCTAGTTCTTCACATCATTGTTTTTGACACCTTTATCCATCTATCTATCCATTTTCTGTCAAGCTTATCCCAAGCGGGGTCACAAGGGGTGCTGGTGCCTCTCTCCAGTTGTCGATGGGCGAGAAGCGGGGTACCCCCCTGGACAGGGCGCTAGTCTATCGCAGGGCAACACAGAGACAAACAACCATTCACATCCACACTCACACCTAAGGAGAATTTAGAGAAGCCAATTAAGGTTTTTGGACCGTAGGAGGAAGCCGGAGTACCTGGAGAGAACCAAAGCATGCACAGGGAGAACATACAAACTCCTTGCAGAAAGATCTCAGGCCATGAATTGTAAACCTTCTTGCTGCAAAGCAGCAGTGCTACTCACTGCGTCACTAAGCAGCCCACATCTTTTTTTAAATTAATACATTTTTGGTATTTCTTCTTTAACTTGCAGTATTCCCTCCTCCTGGATGAGCATGTTGCAACAATCCTAGTCATATTTATAAGCTTAGTGAGTTACAATCATTCCAGTTTGATCCTTTTTGTTAAGTTGCTAAAAAATGTGCAGTTAAATTTAGTTTAGATATAGTCAGGTAAAAAAAAAAAAGATCTAGCAAAATAAAATCAGATTAAAAAGTCACCTGCTGCTTCTGATGGGTATTATGGAAGACAGAGCACAAACACAAAAAAGAAAAAAACACTCAGACGATCTGTGCCTGGTAATGAAACTAGATTGATTATCTGAAAGATTTAAGTATATCAGGAAAACGGAAGAAATGGGCAAAGAGTTGTTATCTTTTATGGTATAAAATCATGTCAAACATATTAAGTATTTGGTGTTTGGTTGTTACGACTCATTAAGACACTTATATATATATATAAATAATGTATATTCAAACAGAAATAATCTGTTATAATCTGTTAGTTCACGATTTGTAAATGTATCTTTAATTCTTAAATGAGCTTTGCTACACAATCCACACAAGGCTGCAGGTATACTTAGCTTCAATATTGGATAAACACCTACTTATTTTTAAACAAGTACACCTTTGTCTTTAAAAAGATTCTTATAAATAATCTTATTACAGTCTTTAATAATTTGAAGATTTTCTCAGAACTTGAATTTAAGAATTCCAATAGCTGTAATCCATATCTCTGTTTCCCTTCCTTATACTGAGCTGTAGAAATAAACGTTTGTATTATATTCAAACTTGTATAGATGCACCAGTTCAAGCAGAATGTTGAGCTCCCAAAGAATCCAAAATGTGGAACAAAGACTTGATTTAAAGCCTTCCATGATATAAATAAACCCCTTATGCCTTTAAGGATGAATTCATTTCTACAGCTCAGCCAAAGAATAAAGATGATGTGAGGAAAAGGAGGAGGTGATGGCCAAACTGGTCTTCCCACTCCACCGAGGAGGGAGTCTCCCACGAGGCCAAGAGGCAAATGAGGTTCAATTTAGCTCCTAATGATCTCAGTTTCATTTCTAATTGTATTCATTAGTAGCAGAGGGGAAAAATCTAAGGGTTTCTCTTCTGAGGTTTCAGTGTAATCCTTATCATTATTTTGTGAAAACTATATGGACAAGCAGGGCTCTAAGATGCATACTGAATGACTTTTCTATTGAATTTTTGCTGAACAGAAGCAATAAATACGTATAAAACTTAGCTATCCCTTGAAAATTTTCAATTATTTTTTATTTTGTAGCCAAAAACCTCCAGCTGTTTTATTGAGGATATAAATCCTTCCATCGCAGCTATGATTGCTTCCCTGTCCTTGCAGAGAAAAAGCATGATGCTGCCACCTTCCTGTTTACTGTGAAGTGCAATGTTGTTGTTTCTTTCATCTCATTGGAATTAAATGTTGTATGAGACAATTGAGCTTCTGTTCCCACTGACCTGAGCACCCTTCTCCACATGTTTTAATGGATCTTTTGGAAAACTGTAATTTGGGCTTCTTGTCATCATTCCTTAATAGTAAGATTTGGGGAGTCCATGACTTATAAATGTTCTTCATTTATTCCATCCAGCTGTGAGTTTCTGCAGCCCTGCTGATTATTACTCCATTTGTCAGGCCTGCCAAATGAGGAGGATTTTAAATGAGCACACATTTAAAGCAATGTTGGCTCTGTTTAATATTCCCTTGGTTCCCATAAAATTGGTCAAGTAATCAACAGATACAGGAAATATTCAAGCAGTGTTCTAAATTTAACAGTTTCTCTAAAACTAAATGGGATGTAGTTAAAAAGTTGATGACTCTACAAACTTTGAATTTAACTAAGTTATATTCTACATTCCTAGTTTAAACAAAGACATGGTCATAAAAGACAGCATTTATTTATTATATGTTTACTCTGCTAAGTATATTTTTATATTTAACTAAATATATGTTTAGCAGAGCAGACCTATGCTATATGTAATACAGTATATTATATTGAGTATGAATTTTGCAATCCATGTGAGAAATGTTGAATTAAAGGCTTTTAAGACATTATAGGGTTATCATCTTTATCATAGAATTATATCCAAGAATATAAATGCTTTATCAGATTACATGTAGTAATTTAAACTTGTTACTTGTTTTCAATGCATAAAAGACGCTTGTATTTTTTACTAAGTAGCATTATTAAAGAAAGATTTCCAACATTAGCTTCAATGTTTTGACTGCTTGATTGATTGATTGATTGATTGATTGATTGATTGATTGATTGATTGATTGATTGATTGATTGATTGATTGATTGATTGATTGATTGATCTCACAGTGGAGAAATTTACATGTTACATCAGCTCAAATAGTCACAGAAGAAGAGTGTGCAAAGGGAAGAAAAAGGTGCATATGAGCCTTTAATCTAGATTTAGGTTGACAACCTAACACCATATGGTGCGCAAAAATTAAAACCCAACCCTGTTGTGTATCATCAACTCAGGGATGAATTGGTCCATATTGGATCACAAAGAAAAAAACAAAAAACAAAACAAGCAACACAAACAAGCATACTGGGAAAAATATATCTCCTATTAATTCCATTTTACATGTATATTATATTAATTCCATTTTACACACACACACACACACACACACACATATATATATATATATATATATATATATATATATATATATATATATATATATATATATATATATATATATATATATATATATATATATATATATATATATATATATATATCTTTCTTTAAACTGTCTGTTTTTTTACTTTGGGTAGACAGGTGTGGAGACGTTCACACCTTTTCTGCTGTGTTAATTAGGGAGAGACAAACTTTGGCTTGTCCGAACAAGGTTGAATACCTATAAGGACTGTATGATGCTTTGTTCTCTCTTTGCAAAGATGAAATTAAATGCAGACTCCATCAATCCATCGATCTCCGTTTATTGGACTGGAGTGAGTAGTTGAATTCCTTTTTCCCACGACAAGGTCAAATGCTTTCAGACTGTAAAGGATAACATAGTTTGAGAGGACATCTGTTTTAGTTCCAGTTTAGCTTCTTTTTTATTGTAAAACACAACAGACATGACCTGCTGAAACAAACCTTTGAGCTTCCGGCAGTAATTTTTTGAAAGATAGAAAGTTCTGTATATATGCAATGTAACAGCAGTGTTTGATTAGGATTTCACTGCACTGTTACAAATCAAATTGGAATTTAGAGCATGGAGCTGGTTGAATAAAAAATGTATTACATTCTGGCTTTTTTTATCCCAAATTTATCCCCCACAGAGATTTACTGTAACTGCACATCACGTCATTCCTGCTGCTTCTTTAAACTCTGCTTGCCCTCTCCTCTTCTCTGCATTTCATCCCCTATGGCAATAGACCTAATCCAGCACCCTCCGTGTTCAGATTCATTTAAGTTTAA